GCAGAGCCAAATACTACAATCTCGCTGAATCACTATATAGGAAAGGAATAGTAAATGATTCTAAATGAAAACGTCAAAGTGCAAATGAGAATTTGAATCACGTAATATGTCAATGTAATCTATACGTTGAGCAGGGGAAAACTTACTCTTATCATTAAGGGAATTGCAACTATTCCTAACATTTTATATCGAAATGCTCACTACTGACTCCATTATCCTAGCATTTTCATATGTATTTGATTTTCTAAAAAAGTGTAAGTCTTCGTTACATATATATCTTAATAGAGATATGAATAGTTTGATAAAAAAAATCATAGAATTTTTTTTTCATTTAAATGTTGTAAAAAAGATTGTTTGATAGTTTTTCTCTGTGTTTCAATAATTGCCTTATAAATTGACGCCATGAAACCAAGCTCAGAATAGGAAATTTTGTCGTATACAGCGTTATAATTTAGCAAAGATAAGAAGAGTTCGCGCAATGAAACACTTTTCGAACAAAATTTTACCGTGCAATTCTAAAAACACTAATTGTTCTCGAAAATGTATAAAACTCGCTTTTAAAGTAAAATACCGTTCGTGTAGTTTTGTACATCGAGAGAGATACGTTAAAACGGTATATAACATTGTATTTGCATTTCAGATTTTGTCGAAACTCGTGGCGTTACACGAGCTGATGATTACTGGAGAGTTCAAGCTCTCCACGGCCATTTATCTTGATGACGCTCATTATGCGCCGTAGAACTTGTGTTGCAAACGCGACGCGACAATCACGTTGCTTCCACACTTCGCTGTATGAATTCTAAATATGGATTATAGTATGCCTTTACCTTACAACGAGAGGAAGAAAAGCTTTTCTTCAAACATTTTTCAAGGGGATTCTCCTTCTTTACACGTGGAAAAAAGGAGATTTGAGCCTCGTTCCCCTGGCAACGTTTTGACATGTTGGTCACGATGCGTAGGCTTGTAAGCGTGAAGCTATAAATGCATACTCACATACACACGCGCGTGCGCGTACGCATGCACACACGCACACGCACACGACGTCTAGACTGAGAAAAAGAGACAATTGTACTTTGTACGCGAGGTGGACGCTTTTGTTTGATATTTCGTCAAAAAGAGAAGGTTATGGTCGTTTTTTTTATGTGGTGGTTTTGTGTTTCTTTTTGATTTGGTTACACAGAAAGGAAATGGTTTTGTATTGTGGATCGAATTAACTGTAAAATGAATGACCTATATTCACACTCTATAATAACATCTATATTGGCATTTGAAAGTCATGTTTGCAATGAATAATTTCTAGGGGTAATTAACAATTTAATTTGTTAGACTTAACAAGCTGAGAAGATTAATTAGTTTTAATTAATTGCATGAATAAACAACAGAAAGCTTTTCACGGAAGTGAATTTACATTAACATTTATATAATTATATTTCACAATTGAGAATGACGAAGTTACGCAATGCAAAATTTCTTTCCATAAAAATGTCATTAATTATTTCCGGAATTAAATAGAGAAAAAGCTTGTTCTGCCTCGTTCGATTATTAATTCGATATTTTGGTGACTCAGATTGACAACGCGAGGAATGTTTTCGCTGGGAATTCGTAGAATTTTTCTGATGTAAACTTTATGTGGAGAGAAAGGAGAACAGATGCGAAAGAGCTGAATCATCATATGTGTTAATCCAAAGTTCACGAGAAACACATTAAACAAAATGAACATAAGTATCCATTCAGATCCTCATTCAATCCCATTCTTTTTCGCCACCAAACATTTTCTAGCTCGCCGCGGAACGCTAATAATGAGAAAATGAGAAAGAATTGGCCCTCGGATGGGTATAATAGGCACGTCTCGTACATTTGCGAGTCTTGCGACGACGGTGCGATTCTCTTTTTTTTTCCTCTCGCGGCGCAGCAGACATTAATATCAGCGTTAACGAGCGCGCCTAATCCCAGCGTCGGCGGCGGTCTGTGGGCGCTTCCCTTTGTGTCCGCTCGCTCGACACTTCATCAGAACGAGCCTTTCTCTCGAGTGTAAAAACAAGAGTGTAGAGGAGAGCATAAAAAAAGGACAAAAATTAGGCGTGAAAACGCCGAAAAGGGAATCAAGTATGTGCGTGATATGCGGCTCTATTTCGAACGCCAGTGGGGGAGAAGAAAAGGAAATATGATATACGTCGTTTGTCAAGTTGTGCGAGATTCATGAACTTCAATTTTTACAAGGGAGACACGGCGATATTGGATTGATACTATAGCAGTGACGCCTGCTTTTCTGATCGATTGAATTTATGGAGTTGACAGGAATACTTGGAAAGGTTCAGAAAGAAAAAATGTTGTATACACCCTCGATTTGCCCATTTGTAATTATATATTTTTTCTTTGCTTAATTTGATGACGTGGAATTGCGAGGGTCAAATTAAGTGTTATTAATTTATAGGTATCGCTTTCTACGCGTTGTTTGATATTAATATGCTCTTTAGATTGATAGAAGCCCTCCGCGGATTTTCTTCGCGTTCTCCGGGAAGAAAAATACTGGACTTTGTACACGAGTGCAGAGAGAAATCCTTCCTCATAATAGCTACTTTGGAAAAATCGTCAGATTCATCTGGCATATAAGACATAAGTTACAAGCTTTAGCAAGAACGCGAGCGAAGGCACTTATCAAGACTGGGCCAGCCGCACGTCGAGGCCACTTTATTTCACGCGATATAATCCTCGGCCTAACAGTGAATCACTTTTGCCGGGGCGATAAGAGTTTTAAAGCGCGTCGTAGCTTGAGTGAAGAAATTGCGGGGAGCAGAGAAAAAACCGCAAGCGCACATTCCTCGGAAGTCCATCAAGGAATTTCCAACGGGTGGAAAATTGAAGAGTACTTTATGAAGTTGTCTCGCGATGAATTACTCAGGAATTAAAAGAATACAAAACCAACGAGGAAGGGGGGAGGGAGTTAATTGAAAGAGGGCGCACAAAGTAAGTGCCGCTCGATTCATTAAAGCCGCTTGCGGGGAAAAAAGCGTTTCTCGCGTCAATTAAAAAATACGAACCACTGTCTCTTCTTTTTTTTTTGGCCGCGCTCGTTAACATGTACTCGAAGCTTTTTGTTCGATACAGTTTTAATTGTCTCCCCCCACAGAAAAAAAATCGATCGACGACAATTCCTCGTTGAAATGGAATTAAACGGAAGACGTGATTGTGCGGTCTCTTAATTATTCTAGAGACAACGGGAGAGGACGTTGTTAAGGGAGTTGCGCGCCACGAGCGAAGATTACCAAGTTTTTCCGGGAGAGAAGCAACTTTTCCGTCACGCGAACTTTTACATGCACAAAAAGGGCTTTTTGCTTTCGGGTAAATACACTTTGTGTAAACTTTGCTCATCATCGCACAAATAAATTTCATACAATTCTCGGTCAATTTAGCTGTCTGTCGTAGCGAATGGCAATTCTGTTATGAAACAGAATTGTTGTTGTCGGGTTAATGAAAGCTATCTCTCAAGAAAGATGAAAACTTCTATTTATAAGATTATAATATCAAATAAAATTCTTGAAGTACGTAAAGTATTTATCCGAGTCTGAAATGTTTATAATTGGCAAAACATTTTATCATTTCGAACGTTACGAATATTTAAAGAAAAGTAAATGAAAACGTTATCAAAACTTAAATTAAGAAGATTAGTAATATTAATTTTTTTAATCGGACTTTTTACTTTATTACTATTTAGTTACAAAATTGACAAACGTACAAAATTCCTCGTATGTGTCGTTTCAGTAATAATATCAATAAGAATTAACAAAAAAAGTACATTCAATAATGTCAAAACCGTATTATTACTGGTGACACACTTCCGTGTTCAGGACAATAATCGTGCAGCAAAAAGAGCAGTGCGATGGCAAAAGAAAAGCGAGCAACGTTGAAAACTGCAGTCCATAAAAGCGTCGCTAGAACCAAGGGAAAAAAGGAAGAGAAAGACATTGAGAGGCGCTTGACGCGTCGCGATATTTCCGATGGCAAGTGAGTGGTGCTAGACAATGGTGAGAGAGAGAGAGAGAGAGAGAGAGATACAGCGGGAGGGGACTATTTACTGGCTTGCGGCCAAATGAAAATAGGATATTCAGCGCGACGCGCTTTAAAGTTCTCATTAGGCGCGGATAGAGAGAGAGAGGGAGATCGAGGTCTGTGGGCCACTTGAGCGGCGTCGGCAGCAAAGCATTGTTTACGTCGGCGTACAGCTTTCATTAAGTTCGCATTGTCTTCCCCCGTTCTGCCGTCTTCTTGCAAAACTTCTTTGCTGATTAAGCACCGGTGAGTAGAGGAGATCAACGACCTTTCTTTTTTCATCAAGCCAAAAAACTCTCTCTGCTAAACGCTCTCGCGAGATGTTCATGGAGTGAGTCCAATTTTTAGACGGCATCTTAGTCTTTGCAGTCGACTACGAGAGAAATGTCGGATGGTTATTGTCGTACACTCTGCTTTTTTGCGACAGTTTTTCTCAATGGGATTGTATATTAAATGATGAACGCGTCCGTTGAGAAAATGTAATACTTTCTACGCGAGAGAAAAACAAATGTGCTTAGCGTCACAGTAAAATTTTTCACTTGGTACACATTTTTCTTATGTTACTTTTTTATTTTGCTAGCAAAATGAATTTTTTTGATGTGCAAAATTGGTCAGGGAATACCAATTTAGAAGCGCGCTGGAGAACATTGGATCTTCATAACAATCATGTAGAATTTTTTTCACTTTCTATAGGTCATTCTTGTCTAGTTTATTTTTTGAATGCGAGGTAAATTTCTAACAGAGTCAAAAACAATTTTGATCAAAGACCATATTACTGTCGAAAATAGTAATTAATTTCTGCACCATAGCACTTATAAAGAACTATTTATTCGATTCTAAAATAAATAATATAATTAATAAGCGTAAAAAGATTTTTCGCAAATATTTTAACACAGCATGGCAATATTCAGGTCGAGTGTTCAATACACATTTTTCTTTTCTTTTTACAGACACGCCGTCGTTCGCGATCACGCGACTGCCCGGCTTTGGAATTCCAATCGTCGAGGGGATGTCAGTCAGTCTCAAGTGCGAAGTGGACAGCAATCCATCAAGTGCTCCCATATGGCAGCGAGGTAATTCAAATTATAATTCACCTTGCCATTCTATATTTCTTTTTGTTCTCTCAGAATTTTCGTTGATAAAGTTTCACCTCCAGATTCATTTAGCTACAAATAAATCAAATACTTTGAGCTGCTCGTTGGCTGGAATGAAACGCAACGTTAAGCGTATTATGAATTTCGAAGCTCGATTGTGCAGCATAGAAAGCTACGGTATCACGGAAAATGCCGAGAGCGGAATGTTTACATTAATGTTATAAATAGCCCTATCGGTTCGCTCATTATTCGCCCCAAGGAATTTCCGATGATGAATTCCTTCGCCCGTGAAACATCAAATGCGCATTAAAACAAAGGATTTGGAATTTAAAGTACGCGCGAACGCGCGTGGAGAATGTCTATTAACTGACCGGCAGGAAAATTGTAAACGTTCATCTTGCATAATTACTTTTAGCTGAAAGAAGAAGTATGGGAAAAAAAGTGAAAGCAATGTGAGTATTAAAAAGGAAATTAGCTTTGGTAATCAGCGTTGGCATACATGCGTTAAGGGGAATGCAAATACGTGGTTATAGGCAAAGTCTATCGTACAGGTAGCCTATGCGTGTACATGTATTTGATCGTAGGTTGGTTTCGTAGTGTAGCGCGGCGCACGCGCCACGCTTTCTCTCGAGTTTACGAGCTGATAATTTAATTACAGCGTAAACACGAGGACGAGAGCTGCGCTACCGACTGCAAACGTTATGGCGAAAGAATACGGAATTGCACTCCAGCTTTCTTCAAATATGCGAGCATATGAAACCAAATACAAAGAAGTGAAGTACGGGATGTAGTGATCGATCACAATGAAAATGTAATCATGAGCGCGTTATAAACGGAAGTGCTCGATGACGCCGACGACGAGACATTAACCTATATCCGTGTATATCCCGCACGCTAGGAGATTCTCCCTTTCTGTATGTATGGCGCGTACATATACAGCGACAAAAGAGGATTGTCGTTATGCGAATGGCCCTCCGTCTTTTGAAAAAAATTAATCGAGTGACTTCAAAACTCGTGAACCTTGCCTTCTCTGTTATTATCACTCATCGTAAAAGCGTCTTTAGTATCCTCGTACACAATAATATTTATTTTATAGTTATATATATAGAGGAAGCGCGTGATTTGTTAGGGTTCGGCGTATGATATCTGTGATTGATTAAAAATTGAATTCTTTCTTGGAGTGAACAATGGTCGTAAGTTGTTCTAAGAGTTGTAGAGTAAGAAGAAATGAGATGGAAAGAGAGAGAGAGAAAGAGAGAGAAAGGCGGGGGGAGAAATTGTTGAAATTCAATCAATCATTTTCTGTGTGTGGTTATGCAACCACGAGCAATGCAATTTTCATCATACCTGGAAAACATTTACTATCGATTTTCCCGAGCAGTAATCCTCGGCAATATTCTGCGTAATGAGAAGTGAGGAGGGCGAAGGAAGTACGGAGAATAGAACGATACAAAGTAAGCAAACCACCGCAGCTGCACTCAGGCCTGTCTCGTGGTTTGCGCTTCCATTATACAAGACGAGTAATTACGTGCGATAAGGAGATTACCTGGGTCCAGCGCGTTCCCGGGAGCGTCGAACGCAAGCCAGATACCTGAAAGGATAGCGTCAATGGAATCACTCGCTTGCCCTTTAAGCTTCCTCGGTTATTGCATTAAACAAAGTGCTAAAAAGCCTTTTATAAGAATGCCAGCACTACTTTTTTCCCGTGTTTCCATTGTAACGCTTGACCTTCCGTCCTGTTTCAATACGAACAATTTTCCAATTTGACAAATTGAAAGATTTACGCGCCATCAAATCTCTCTTTCCCTCTCTATCTCAATTAAAATCCTGCGATACGCCTTACGGGCACGTTGCGAATTTTTCAATTTACTCGCCGCCGAGGATGCGATACTTCCGGACCAGAAATCAATATTTGACATATACTATATATCGGCACGCCGCTGTGTGTGCGGTGACAAAAGTCGCGTTATTCGCGATTACGCCTGATCTAGCAAAAAGTCAATTTCCAATGAGGCGCGGGGATATAGAAAGGAGAGAAAGGTAGAGCTTGAGCTTGAAGCAAAATGAAATTCTATTATTATTTAATTTCTCTTGGCTTTCCTTTCCTTCGCCCTTTCTTCATCCTGTCCGTCTCCATTCCGATGATAGACAATTTATCCGATTGCTGCATTATTGGATTTAATTTTTTCCTTTCACTCTCCCTCTTCTCGCGCGAAGCTCTGCATTATTGATTGGGAGTTGCATTGATGATAAGGTATTGAAGTAAGCACCGCACTGCTTACCTACCTTTCAACCGATGAATTCTCAATAAGTTGGTTCAATCGACTTTTCACTTATTCGCAAATTCGATTATTAATGTTTTCGCTGCCACTTAACTCGACTTCGACCGCTACAAGTCTTACACTTATGGTCTTTGACTTACTTTTTAGAAAAATAAATAAGCGATATGACTACGGAATGTTTATTGTTGATCAAAGGATACATTGAATTCGCTCTCGTGGCCGATGAAAATACATTTTGGAATAACTTCCGCGACTATTGGGCGGTTTATTTACAAACCCGAAGCGACGCTTCATTCCACAGCAGAGCAGTTAAATACTGAATAAAGCAAAGTAGCAGCGCAGAAACGAAGTCGCTTTTGTTTGTCTGTCAGAGAGAGCTTCTACTCTCACGAAGAGAGAAAGCGGAAGAGGAAGAAGGCAAAGTAAACGCGACCGAGGGCTCAGACCAGCAACGAAATCTCTCTCTCTCTCTTTCTCTACACACTCGCGCGTGTACACACACACACACACACACACACACACACACACACACACACACACACACACACACACACACACACACACACACACACACACACACACACACACACACATATATATATATATATATATATATATATATATATCTGATTTTGTTTCAGACAACGGGCCGCCGCCAGTGGAGCAAAGTGACGACGGCTGGCTGAACTTCACGAAGATCACAAGAGACGAGAGTGGCTGGTACAAGTGCTACACACGTCACATGCTCGGCATCTTTGAGAGCATCGGCTACTTTCTCAACGTGCGCTGTGAGTCACTTCTGACGCTTTCATGTAATAACAATTCGATGCCCTTTCAATGGAGAGAAAAGTAGAAAAAAGGAGAGCACACACGCATGCAGCTTCAGAGCTCCTATCGGTAGCCGCTTCGCGACAAAGACTTTTTCAAAAGCACTTTATTTATTAGTTAAACTTGGCGATGCTGGTTCATTAGAAAACGGCGACTCGTCCAATGTGGACTCGAGAGAACGGAAGCCCTTTTCAATTTTCTCCGCTACTTTTTCCAACGATTCTCTTTGAAGATTCTTTCTTTTTGTTCACTGTTCGCTGGGAATCGTCATTCAGCTTGAAGTGGAAAGTCAATTTGATGCTCTGCTGGAATTTTTAATTAGTCGCCCTCTTAGACCAACGACTTGGACTTCGTTTGAAAAAGAAACGGTCTTGTAGCTTGTCAAAAAAGAATACCTTCTCATCAAGTTATATATGCGATTGAGTTTATAGGCATGCAAACTTTATAGAAAATAAATTAGAATTCTTAAAGAAAGTAGTGCGAGTCAAGAAGCGGTCAGCCATCGCAGCCAAGTTACTTAAAGCTTAATCGTCCCAGGCGTGTAATATGTGTGAGCATCATCGATTTGCCATGCATTATCGGTAATTCCAAGCCAAGTATTCGCTCAGTGGCAAAGTAGTTGGTCGTAGTAGCAGGAGGATGAAAATTCGCGAATAACTCGATAATGCGAGAGAGAGTCCCCAGGGCGCATTGCGGCCGGACGCAACGCCGATAAGTTATCCTTCCCGCAGCTGCAGCGCGAGGGAGAAGATCGTAACGCGCAAGTAATCGATGCTTAATATAGGCGCGCGCGGTCTAAATTGCGCGCAGATTAGTTTCCGGAAGCACACGCGTATCCTCCACCTCCTTCACTTCTCTCTCTCTCTCTCTCTCTCTCTCTCTCTCTTGGAATTAATAATTCAGACGCTTCGCGACAGATTGACGAGGCGGCTGCTCTGAATCTGGGTCGTCGTATACAAACTGAAACCAATAGCTGCTCGACACGACGTCATCGTCGCATTATTACTGCCGTGAACGTGTGTAATAATGAACAAGGCTTACTGGCACCGTACGTTAATTCGTGGTGATTGAATGCTTAATAAACGCTCACTTGCGAGAGAGATGATCTTGTAAGCTAGGTTAGTCAGAGAAGCTAGTAAGGGAGAGAGAGAGAGAGAGAGAGAGAGAGAGAGAGAGAGAGAGAGAGAGAGAAACTATCGGAAATTTGCAAATTTTCCCGGATAATTTCCGCTTGGGCTAGGCTTCCGGCCTTGACAAATGACTGCGGTTTCCTCTCCTACTGGCTTCGAGGGTATTGACGTCAGCGTATGACTCGTTCTCCCTCTCTCTCTCTCTCTCCGTTGCAGCAGCAGCAGCAGCAGCCGCCGCCGCCGCCGCGTGCGAAATCTAATTCCAAAGCGAGCGATTCGCTGTGCGCGGCGCGATCGGACTTGCCAGCACGCGAATGCCAACTTTCATGCCATGCCATAGCCATAGCCGGAGCAAACTCGTTAAACTAATAGCGATTAGTTTACGAAGCTGTTACTCTTCCTACAGGAAAAAGCTACTCTAGCGTTATGCGAATGTGATATCTAGCGTGTGCGCGCGTGCGTTTTACGTGCCAAGGCCGTGTGTGCATACCTTGAACGAACAGCTATACGATACATTCATACTTAGTTCCGAATATGCTTTCCTTAACTGTATTGAAACCAATGTATCCGTTATTTGTTGAGTGTCGAACATTCAATTATCAAAAACACCTTATGGTTGCAAAAATATCGACACATTATGTTAATTAATTAGCATGTCCCTTGATTTCTACGCTACTTATTGATGCAGAAAATTGCTCACTAATTTATTGACCTGTCTAGTATGTCCGAGTGCTATTTAACCAAGTTACTACCGAAATAAATGTAGCATTCATAGCTTTGATTATCGCGTCAAATAGAAAATATAATTACGAAAATCTCCGAGATGTCTTAAATTAAATTGTAAGACCTTGGGAATCTTGTAAATCCATACTGCAAACACCATCTTTAGATTTTAATATATTCAGTAAAAATGTTCTTTACGGATTAACAGCATTATTCAAGGGGGAATGGATATTACACTCAAAATGAGATAAGATCGGCATATGTATGCACAAGGATATCTGTGAACACACAGTCATCCGATGAGCAAACAATCGGACATGATTCCGCGTCCTATCGAGATAAGAGATAACATAAAGAGGGGGAGCAGGATTTTACCACGCACTCTTGTCATTTTATCCGCGATGTTGCGACATCGCATTATAAACTAGCTATTGAATTGGAATTTAAAAGCTTTGTTAAATCAAACAGACAAGGATTGTTAAATATTTTTTTAAATCCGGTGCTTTTTCCTCGTTTGCAGTCGGAGGAGGGGGGAGGAAACGGGCGGATTCTCGTTTGCGGGAAATTAGTCGTTCACTATTTTTCTTCTGCACTATAGGATTTGTGCTGATCACCAGTTTTTAAAGCTTCTTTTACGATACTCATCTGCGTATACCTGCGAGCTTTCGAGATCTGCTCACCTACATTCTTTTTTACTATCCTTTTATTCGTTCCGAGATTTATGCCGCTCGATAGACATTAAATTCGCTTGCTCGCGTTATTTACTTCAATTTTTATAATAAAATTTAGGACGGACGATTCACTTCCATTAACCTTAGTTTCACACATATATTGATGGGTTATATTGATGGATTTTGCGATATCACCTCCATCAATTCGAGATTAAATTTATTATAGGAAAATACCGGTTATTTTATATTCCCTGGAAGATTCAAATAAAACTGTTATTTTATAAGATCGATAAATGCATAACTATCTTGAAGCGTTTTTTTCTCTATCAACAACTGAAACTTCTATTAAAAAGCCATTATTAAAATCAATGATTAAGTAATTTTTATTTTATAATGTACAGCCAATCCTGAAATAGAAACTGAAGCAGAAGCATTAAACGGCGAGGCAACGGACTCGCGTAAAGTGGAAGTGCAGATCGGCGGTGCTGTGACGCTTGAATGCGATGGTGGTTGTTGGGGTCATGGACCTAATATGGATCCTGTTGGTGGCCCTGGGCCGCTATCGCTTAGTAGGGTGGTTTATCAAGAAGCTGGCGAGTATCGCTGTGTCGCACCCGATCGCAAGATGCAGGACACTTGGAGAGCTCAGTTGCCTTATCACGTGACTGTTAGCGGTAAGTACCGTCAAAATTATTTTTTTTTTATTTACCAGACTTTAAATAATACGTATTCTGTGAATGGAACTTCATTGCGTTTCGGTCAGTCATATTTTTTTTCTAAATCATGTTTATTTTTATACATGCGAAATAAAAGTCAAACAGATATTTGCCATAGCAGTACTCGGAAAAAAATATATATGTTTTTTAATTGCGTATATTTAAATAAACACCAGCGTGCTTTTATTTGGTGAAAAGAGAAAAAGTACGTGTTTTTTTACCAATCGTATTTGGGGAAAAACGCTCGTTTAATAAAGAATATTTGCGCATCGCGCGCGGTCAAAGTACCAGCGCGCAAGTGTAGGGGCACGGCAGTTGTAGAAACCGCGCACTCGTCCCGAAAAAAAAGAAGGAAATAACATTTATCGAGCGCCCAACGTATCGTACACGGTTGGATGCAGTAGTAAGCGTTGATCATACGCGTATATATCGCAGCGATATCGAGTTTTGTTTCTTGCAACTGAAAAATACGTAGCTGCGGTCAAACGACAAAGGAAAACATGATATTTAGTTGGGGTATCTTGGCAGAGCCATTATCGCGGTGGTAGCGGTTGGGCAAATTGTGGCTTTTGCAATAATACAGACGCCGAGTCAGCTTGTACTACAACTATACTAGGGCATGAAGTCGTGCGGCGAGGAAAGGAGAGAGTAAGAGAGAGAGAGAGAGAGAGAGAGAGAGAGAGAAAGCGAGAGCCAAAAATCACATCAGCCTGCCAAACTTTTCCGCTGTCTTTCGCTATATAACTCGTGTAGCTGATGCTGCAGTAACTCGTTATATTTTTCACGCTTTCTGACGCTGAACGAAAAAGATTGAGCAACAACGAAGGAAAAGACCCCCGACTGCGGTGTGCTATGAACACGCACACATTAAGAGCATTGCGAAGAAGCGAAATCTCGGTTGCACACGTATTCCTTGGGTTGTGTCTTCCTCTCGTTCGTGGTTTTCTATCTTGATTCTAGGCGGGTGCACATCGACGATAATTGAAAAGCCGACCCCCGAAAGGCGAATCTTGGGTCTTTTCTGTTTGCGTATAAGAGTTCAAATTGAGAGACTCCAGAGATGAGATTGGCTCGCTCTGGTTTCTCCTTTCGATGGAGTCTGCTCGACTGTAAGTACGTATTTGGCGGAACGAAGAAGGGAGAAGAGGCGGCGGTCAGATCGACATCTTATTTTTCGACTACGATACACATGAAAATAAAACTGTGAATGCCAAAAGTGGAAATATACTCGTGCTTGTTTATTTTGGATGATATATGTGCTTCGGTGCGTTTTCTTTTTTGCATAATTATATTCTGGACAGGGACTTTACTGGAGTACGCTTCAGAGATGCTTCATACTTATTTGAACAATATCAACAGATATTGTTGATTCGAATTCGAAGTAAAACGACTAATTAAAAAAAAAGAAGAAACGTCGTGTGCAAGTTCAAATATGCATATTAATGTTGAAAATTCAAAGCAGAAGCGAGAAAACGTGATATTTTTTATTCTTACAAAGTTAAATTTTCAGGTAACGTGACCGCGACAGAGGCAAGAGAGAGAGAGAGAAAAAATGAGTCGGCTGAAATAACAGACGAGGGCGATTTTTGATTGCACTACACGCGCGGCCAGTCAAAGGGCTTCTTCGCGATTTAATTTTAATGCGAATCCCACGCGTTCACTGTACGCTCGACTTTTCCGATTTCCAATAATCCGCCGAGCGGTCATCTGGCCTGAAGCTTTGAGAAATCCGACGAGAGTGGGAGAGAGAAAGAGAGAGAGCCAAGTTTTTTGACGCTTCGAATTGGCCCAGAGCAGATACGGAATATTCCCCTGAACGAAATTTCCATCGATTGCCCCCTCCCTCTATCCGCGTAATCCCATTTTCGGCGGACGAGAGAGTGAGCGTAGCAGCTTTTGTGAACGAGACTTCGATGTTTACTCCGATCGCTTGATTGCACTCATTTTTTTACCCTGCATGAGGCTCGCCGAAAAAATTGCGAATTCATTACTGATTGTGCTAACAACGTCGATTTTTCATCTTTTTTCTTCGTTTCTTTTTTTCTCTTTTATGAATTGATTTTTATAGTTTGAATTTTCAGTAATTTATTCGGTATTATTAAAGGATAAACTTTTATTACTTTTGCGTTTATTGCGACACGCTGTAACAAATACATTTTTATTCAAACAAATGTTGAATAATAACTTCCAGATATTTCAATGATCAGTCACTATAAATTCTCTATTAAAACCAATTCAATACATATTCTGAAATTTTTATGAAAACGACCGTTTCTTCGTTTATTTTCATATTATAATAAAGCTCAATCTAATTTAATTGAAACTGCGCTTTGAATAAAAACATATAATTCATGTAATGTTTTAAAATCATTCCGTTGGTGGAATATATTTTCATTACTGTTATTAGTCATGTATAACATTTTTCCATGAATTTTCAAAGAACGGGCTCATATATTATAGAGTTTGTGTCTATCTTTTAGTTCACAGAAGATTTTTATGTACTGATGTCAATATTTTTACTTTATGTGAATAACCGAATTCAAAAGTTTTGACAGACATTTTCAAGTCATTGTATAAAATTCTAATTAACTTGAGAAGTTTTGACACGCTTATTCAATTAGACATCATAACGAATATACACTCAGCACAATAAATTCTAGAAATGAAAGTGGCATAGAGAGAGAGAGAGAGAGAGAGAAAATGTGGTCACATAATGTAAATGATAGAGGTACCTACCGCCTCACAAGAACAAAGCCACTCAAACAAACTAATTCATTAGTTTCTGCTTGTGGGGCAAACGCGCAAAACTCAACTCCGTCTACTAGCCATGTATATAAATATATATACACGGTGAGTGTTTGACATCTATGTTTCCGTATTTAATTCAACTGCAAGCGCCGAAACACGAAGCCCATCTCTCTCTATCTACATGTTTGCAAAGGTCAAAGGCTAATCCAGCTGTTTCATCGTCGCTTCGTGCAAACTTATAGCAATGGCGACGGAACCCTCGTGAAAAATTCAAATGAGACAGCTGCACTCTTTGCAGATTTCGCGGACGTTTGACGGCGATTTTCCGCTTCTCTCCTTTTTTTGCCTCGTCGTTACTTTTGCGAAAACTCTTGCTTGCCTTTCACAGTTTAACTTCCAATTTGGTTTTCACGAAAATCATTTTTACTTCTGGCATATGTTTTTTTTTGTCTGACTGACTGAGTTTTTCAAGTGTACTTTCAGAGTTATAAAGTAAGCCTTTTGAATCCTTAACTTCGTATTTGAAAATCCAAGTTGTTTAAGTGTTGATTTCTATGAATACTGTTAAATATTTTTATTTTTAGATTAAAGTAAACACGGAAAAGCGTATTATTAAGAAAGAGTAATATTTAAAATAAAGTTTTGAAAAAGTTCCTCTCATTTGTCATACGTAAATGTCTCGTTGAATTTCAAAAGTTTATTCAAAAACGCGCTGCGAAATTCCGAATACCATTGCATAAATTCAAAATTTAACATTGAGAGAAAGAGAGAGAGAAAGATAGAGTAAGAGAAAGAGAGAGGCCAAGTACAATTACGTTAAAAAATATACTAACCAGATCTTTCGCACATTCCCTATGCGCATGAACTCGTTATTCGAATTTACAAATCCGACAGTAGTAGTTCCTTATGGGAAAACACAGAGAGAGAGAAAGCATCATTGGTCAAATCCCATCGTGCGTGTCAAGCCATTTCCCTATTCACTCTTTTTTTGCGCTATCGATGCAGTGTATACATCCGTCGTCCACTCGTGCGCGTAGTTAATTGCTGTGCCCGCGCACGAAGCTTTAACGCTCGCGTGAAAAATAATGTGGCCAACCTCTCGATATTTACGCTTCGGAGAGAGAGAAAAAGATAGAACACGACCTTAATGGCACTCGCGTAGTGTTCTATATAGCCTTTTCTACGTTTTTATGATCCTGTAACGCCAAGTCTGTGCGAAAACGGCTTTATTGAAATAGATGTGGAATTTTGATTGGGTCGCCACCACCGCACGCTATCTTTATGCCTTTCACGCGCTACAGTATATTCTTTCATTTTACGGTCACGTTAAAAATCGTACACGCGATACAGGCGGACGATATTTGATGCGCTCGATGGCTGTTAGTCGAGGCGACAATTTTTCTGTACTTTTATGATGATCTCTTCTTAAGAAATTGTTAATGCATAGACTGTGCGTGGGAATTGAAAGCCTATAAAAGCAAGTTCATTAATTATTCAGATGTAAAATCTGCACAACAAAATACTATTCCGCGTATTTTTTTTCAGTAATTCACTCAACTGTAGTGTCTGTTATATTTGGTAATTAAAAATATTTAATGTCAAACGTAAACATATTACATCGTTACTCCGAATTGTAAATAAACGCTTGCTGAAAAAAAAATGTGAAATTCGACTCGGGCATTCCCCCGAGAATAAAAGCGACCATTAAAAATAGGGCATTCGTCGAGCGCACGCGCACGTATAAATTCGCGTAAACAAGTCTTTGTCGAATTAAACTCGCATATTCGTGCCCAGGCGGGAGACTCACATAACGAGAAATAATCACCCACTCGTCATCAATTTTTTAGCGTTGCGCATTGGCCTTCTCACTCCCTGACTGTCTGCGTCTGGCGAGCGTTAGGCTAAGCATGAATTATTAACGTATTAGGGATGGGGAGAGGATCAATTGATTTATGATCGCGGCGTCGCGTCGCGCATAGCCGATAGGCACTCTCCAACCCACATACACAGACAAGGAATCTTCGATGTGCGATTGCAGGAAAAACAAGCGCGATCGATTAATCTGCATGCGACCCGAGCAAGATAGAGGGAGAGAGAGAGAGAGAGAGAAAGAGAGAGGATGATCGACGGAGGTGCCGTAACTTGAGTTATCGTTCTCGAACGCTACCATCGCCTCCTCGTTAACGATTCCTCGGCGTCACGGACCTAAT